ATATATTTATACATATATATACACATATATGTATACAAATGTACAACAATGACTGGCTTTGTGTGTTTGTATATATGTATACACACACAAACACACACATATATACAGCTGCAGGAGGTAGGCCAGAGCAGTGTGATGCAAGGGGCTGTATACACACACACACACACACACACACACACACACACACACAGCCAGTCAGTGTTGACAGAAGCTACACCCTCAGCCATACTCTGAACTTAGCAAGCAAAGAGGAAAAGATGCCGGACATGGGTCAATCAGGACCTGAGAGCGGTTTGGGCATCAGAAGGAAAGCTAGCCACAGTGTTCCACACAGTGGTGTCAGAGCTGTTGTGACTCTGTAAGATGCCACGGAGGAGGGACAGTGTAGCTCACAGGAACCGCCTCAGCTGCTCCCACAGGGAAGTCTGGAGTGGACCACAGTGGGGATGGGAGCCCTGCCCTGCTCATTGTCATGGTTTCTCCCGGCCAGGCTGGACAACAACCAGTTCCAGGACCCTGTGATGGAGCTGTTGGGCAGTGTGCTGAGTGGGAAGGACTGTCGCATTCAAAACCTCAGGTAACACAGACCCCAGTGTACCCACCTGTCGCATGGGATGTGGTCTCTTCCCTCTCTACCCAGCTAACCAGCGCACCCCAAGAACACGTATCTTTGCAGTGCTCAGGTTGCCGTCTGCTCTTTTCTCCCCCTTTCAGAAGGTGTCTACGGCTCAGGCACCTGGTCTGTAAGACAAGGGAAACGGTGGCCAAGGCGCACACTCTGTCCTGGACTTGGGGGTGTCCCCAGTGCTCACTCACCTGCAGGCCTGGCTCAGCCATCACCTTCTCACTCTGATAATATTCTGAGCACAGGACTACATCTTAAACTAGGATATTTAAAAGTTTAATTTAAAATTTAACTTTCAATTTAAATATAATTTAAGGTGAAAATTTAAAATTGTTTTCTATTGCTGTGTATGGATGCTTTGCCTGCATGTACAGATGTGCCCGTGGCCTGCTCTTTGTGTCCGCAGATGTCAGAAGGCAGCGTCAGATCCCCTGGAATGGGAGTTAGGGACAGTTGTGAGCCACTATGTGGGTGCTGGGAATGAACCCAGGTCCTCTGCCAGAACAAGTGCTCTTGACAGCTGAGCCTTCTCTCCAGCCTCAATTTTTGTTTTGTTTTTTGGATACGGGGTCTTGTGTAGTCACATTTGCTCAGACTCACTACACAGGCAAGGTGATCCTGAGCGCTGAGCCTCCCAAGAGCTGGAATTGCAGCAGTGTGCCCCTATACCCAGTTTACGCCATGCCGGAGATGGTGCCCAGGGCACCACGCATGTGAGGCAAACACTTTACCTACTTGAGCCGCATCGTCAGCTCCAATCTAAGAAGTTTAAGTTTACAAGTTTGTCTCTGGCTGGGTGTAATGTCCATGCCTACAATCCCAGCACTCTAGAGGCGGATGCAGGAGGAGAGCCTGGCCTACATATGGTGCGATCCCAGCTCAGATAAAACGCGCTGGCACCGAGTACGCTGAGATTAGAGAAGAGCCTGCGTGCTGACATCACAGCGTGCTGATGTTACAACTTCCGAAAGCTCTACACCTGAGGGAGGCAGCCCTTGGGCTTGTAGTGTGCCAACACCAGGAAGGCCGGCAGAACGATGGGATCATTCTGGAGAATGGGGGTAGGGATGAGGTGCAGAGGGGCTCTGCCTGGCTGGGGAAGGATGAACCCCTTTGAAAGGAGATGATCTTGCAGCTTCTCATTGCCAGTTCTATGTCGTGCACAGGCTGCTCTAGCCTTTCTAGCACATGGCAAAAGAATCAATTTAATTTTGCTGCAAATGGGGCTCAAAAATCATTCTGAAGAAAGCCAAACATCTCTCCTACAAGCTTTTCCTCCCTGGCCCTCAGAGACACTTGTTTACAGTGTCCAAGTCATTCTGCTGGAAAACATATAAGGTTGCTCGTGAGATTATTGTTTATATGACATTGTATAAATTCTGTGGTGACAAAAGTGGGCTGCTCTTCGAACATTTTGAGGTGGAGGGCAGGGAAACAAGGTTTTCTGTAGTTCAGACTCAAGATGCCAACCTTCCGAGTTCTATAATAACAGGTGTCTACCACTGCACCTGGCTAGTATTCAAATTTATTTATTTGTGTGTGTGTGTTTGTTTGTTTGTTTATGGGCAGAGTATCACTATGCAGTCCCAGTGGGCCTAGAACTAATGTGTAAGCCAGGCTAGCCTCTGACCCTCAGAGATCCGCCTGCCCCTGTTTCCCAAGTTTTGGGATTAAAGGCATGCACCACTACACCTGGCTCAAGTTTTTAAGCAACAGAATTCATCTGAAAAGCAGTGTGTCAACCAGAACCCCAGGGAATAAAATGGACAGAGGGGGAACCGTTAGTATTAGAAGAGCCTGCTCCCCTTGGTGCCCTTCCTCTTCTGTCAGCCCCGGGTACCAGGATCCCACAGAGCTCTTGGGATATACTTGATCCTAACATCACAGGGATTCTAATACACAGCTCTATCCTAGGGGGGTGATGCTTGCAAAACTAAAGAAGCCTCAAGCACCCCACTTCTGACAGCGACACAGGCAGCAACACTGAGTGGATCCGCCAGCTGCGGAAACCACCTTCCCAGGCACATAAAGATGAGCCTTTGTAAACTTAGTTAATTTTGTGGTAATTCTACCATTTGCTGTTTTGTATTAGAGAAAGGCTAGGATCAATGGTATGCTCAAATTAGTTTGGGCTAGTTTAGGAGCGCTGTGGGTTTTCAGGAATTTCACAAGTAGCGAGTACTTAAAACTCGCTGTGGTTTGGGGCATTTGCACCAAGAAACCAGCAGCAATGTTTCGCTTCCCCTTGAGAGTCACATTATAGACAGGGTCTATATGAAAGAATCCAGTATAGAAATTACTGCATTTATTGTATTTGTGCTAGTGTGTATGTGTGTGTGCATGCTTGTAAATGCACACACCACAGCACGTATGTGGAGGTCAGAGGACCACTTGTATAAGTCAGTTCTCCCGTTCTAACATTTGGGTTCTGGGAATCAAGTTGGGGTTGTCAGGCTTAGCCACAGGTACTTTTACCCTCTGAACCACCTTGCCGGTCCCATGTGAAAGACTTCTACGTCCAACGCACGGCCTCCACATTTGTAAAGTAGCTGTTGTGTGGCATGCTGGGAAAATTTCCTTGGAGCCCTTCATCAGGGCGAAGGTCATCAGGCCCACTCTGACTCCACGTTCCAGGTTCAGGGGTCTCCTATCCCTGCCTTCTGCTCCCTGGTCACTGTATAGTCTCACGGGTGATGTTGGGAAAACAAAGACTAACCATGAGCCCAATATCACAGAAGAGGCAATGAGAGGCGCAGACTTGCGATAAACACTTTCCCTTGTCTTGGCAGCCTGGCTGAGAACCAGATTGGTAACAAAGGGGCCAAAGCTCTGGCCAGATCCCTCCTGGTCAACAGAAGTCTCACCACACTAGAGTAAGTCGGACACCACGGCCCCTGGATAAAGAGAATTTTAACTATCTCCCTGTCTGTGAAATGTCTTGAGCGTTCCCTGACCTTTCTCCAGCTCCCAGAGCCCCATCTACAGCATGTTGAGCTCTGAGCTCCTGCCGACTACACGTCCTTCTGACTGGTGGGAAGGACAGCTGGGCAGGCAATGTCACCACTACTTTTATCCCTTAAACTTCATTTCAGAAAACACTTGATTTTTGACCCTGACCTAGATTCATTGTTGTCATTTCCACAGTTAGCTCACTAGACCACATCCTGTTCCCTTGCCCTCACCAAGGCGGGCTGCTTTGGGGAACTCCTTTATTCATACATACGTACATTCATACACACACATACACAATACATACACATACATATATACACACACACATATATACACACATACACATACATACACACACATATACATACACACATATATACACATATACATACATACACACATGATTTCTGCCATATATCAAACATGAAATCCCTAACCCCAGTTCCTTCCCTTTAAGAATTGTAGACTTAAAATGTCAGTGCTATTTTGATTTTTCTTCCCACACCGGTCATCTTTTTTTTCCCTCTTGTTTCTACCAGCCTCCGGAGCAACACCATTGGACCCCAGGGAGCTAAGGCCCTGGGAGATGCTCTGAAGATAAACCGAACTCTAACCTCTTTAAGGTATGTGGCTCCACTCCTGACTCTAAACCTTGGCTACAGGAGAGACTGTGGAGTGGGAGAGGATTTAAAATGGAGACTTTGGGGTGCCAGCAGGCTTCAGGTTCCAGATGGCCCTAACTCTGTGTGCTTCCGTAAGCCCCAAGATTTCTCTGGACAATAACAAGTCTGCCTTCCAGAAGATGACAGTGCTTAGGTATGGCTTGCTGTGTCCCTTTTAGGAGCCTGTGGCTGTGTCCATCTAGTTGAGGGTATACTATTGTTCTGGTTTTCTAATTTTATTATTCAAATGAAATTTTCATTGTTACTGTTTTGAGACAGGGTCTGGCTATGTAGGTCTCGATGAGTTCAAGGCCAGCCTGGCCTTCAAAGCGAGCTCCAGGCCAGGGTGTCCTGGAACTCACAAAGATCCACCTGTCTCTGCCTCCTAAGTGCTGGGGTTAAAGATATGCACCACTACTGCCTAGCACCAGATGAAATTTAATGATATAAAATTTATCACTTTGAAGCTTTATAGTTCTTTGGCATTTATTTTATTTTTGTTCTTTTCGAGACAGGGTTCCTCTGTGTATCCCTGGCTGTCCTGAAACTCGCTCTGTAGATCAGGCTAGCCTTGAACTCAGAGATCCACCTGCCTCTGCCTCCTGAGTGCTGGAATGAAAGGCAAGTACCACCACAGCCTAGCGTCATTGGCATTTTGTACACTCACAATATTGTACAGCTACCACCTCTGTCAAAATGTTTTCAGAATGTTTTTGACCATTAGTTTTTGCTTATTCCTTTTCTCTGGACATTTCATACAAATGTAATTATACAATAAGAACTTTGGGCCCTGCGGCAGTGGTGACTCACACCTTTAATCCCAGCACTCGGGAGGCAGAGGCAGGCAGATCTCTGTGAGTTCGAGGCCAGCCTGGTCTTCGAGAGCGAGTTCCAGGATAGGGTACAAAGCTACAGAGAAACCCTGTCTTGAAAAACCACACACACACACACACACACACACACACACACACACACACACGGACTTCGTGTCTGTCTTCTCTACTAGCATGTTTTCAGGTTCATCTACTCTGTAGCATATTGTTTTCTTACACTTCGTAGCTGACTCGTGTTCCACTGTATGGGTGGAGAAGTCTGCTTACACAGCCAGGCACAGACTGTCCATGCAATCATGCATTCAGTGTGCTTCTGCCTTTTAGCTACATGCTGCTAGCAACATTTGTGTAGAAGTATTCAAGTATCTACCTGTCTTTAATTACTTGGGGAATACACCTAGGAATGGATTTGCATTTTAACTGATGTAGACACCTTGTTCCTAGTTGGTAGGCGGCTACTTAGAAACTCAATACAGGAGGGCTAAGTCTTTCCTGGGTGATGAACCATAATGCTGCTTCCTGTCTTGGGCCTCTGAGGCAGGTGTCCCCACTGCAGAGAGAGGCTGGGCCACTGGTGACACACCTCTTCTTACCTCTGTAGCCTCCAGAGCAACGTGATCAAGGATGATGGTGTCATGTGCATGGCAGAGGCCCTCGTCTCCAATCAGACCATCGTCATACTACAGTGAGTGACAAGGTCTTGCTTCTCCTCTCTCCTCCTGAGCCTCTGCCCTGCCCCTGACAGAGAGAAAGGAGGCGGTCCTAAGGCTGTCTGCTCCACCTGTTTCTTCAGAGAAAATAAAAACTCTTGCCAGCCCAGGAAATCATGCCCACAGCCACAGGAAAAGGACACTGCTCTCCTCTCTAAATGAGCACTGCCTGTAATCGGCCAGCGAGGCTACAAAGACAGAGGTCCTGCCCTTCATTCCATGCACGTCCCAAAGGTCAATGAGGATTTGTTGTCAAGCGTGAGGAGCTGGCAGCTGATCCTGAGCTTGCCAGACAGGGAGAGAGGCCACTGTGCCCCTGAACTGCTTTGCCCAGATGAAACTGCTCCTACCTTTATGGCGATCTGGTACAGCACAACTTGGAGCTGTGTCCCAGGCTAATTCCCACAGTGACAGGGGGACAGGAGCACCTCCTTGTTTGATGTTTGTCCTGGAACTGAAGGCCTCAAGTCCCTTAGAAAGACCCCAGGAGGCCTGGTGTGGTGGCAAATGGCTTTAATCCCAGCACTTAGGAGGCAGAGGCAGGCAGATCTCTGGGAGTTTGGGACCAGCCTGAGCTACATAAAGAGACCATCTCAAAACCCAAACCAAACACACTCCTGGGCTGTGAAGCCAGAGGCAGCTGACTGAGCTTGCAAGCAGAGAGAGTATGGATTTGCAACCTATAGTTTCCTAAGAAAACACTGTACAAAGAGGGAGATGACTTTCTCCTTTAAAAAAAAAAAAGGTGTCTGGACACGTACAGTATAGATACATTTTTTTATGTTTTATTTCTGTGTGTGTATGTGTGTGTGTGTGCACATACACACATACATGCTATGGCACAAGTATGGGGGTTAGAAGACAGCTTCCAGGAGTCATTTTTCTCTTCCCATCACGTGGGTCCTAGGGACTGAATTCTGGTCTCCAGGCTTGGTGGCAAGCACCTTTACCTGCTGAGCCATCCTTAGGCCCCCCCCATGTCTTTCTTTATATGGAGGGTGTTTTACACAGGTGAGGTCCTTCCCCATCTGTCCCCTATACCTCTTCCCACAGACGTTTCTGCAGGTGGGAGGCGGCGTGCTGGTCCAGATGTGTGCTTTGTTAGCTGCAGACTTGAGTGCGGAAGTCTCGCATACAGGAGGCTGCTGAGCCCATCAGCCCCTATTCCTGGCTGCCCCTTTCCTCTAACTCCCCCAGCTAGATCCTTTGTGAGACCCCTTTCCACTGCCCTGTGAAGGAGATGGCACCCTATCTGTCCCTGACCTCTCACCCAAAACTCAGACTGGCGTTGACTTGGGAGTGTGGCTGGCTTTGCTGATGGACCCCTCTTGTCTCCCACAGGCTACAGAAGAACCTAATTGGGCCCAAGGGAGCCCAGCAGCTGGCAGATGCCCTGAAGCAGAACAAGAGTCTAAAGGAACTCATGTGAGAAAGGCCGAAGGGCCAAACTGGTGTTCTCTGTGCCAAGCAGAAGGCCTGTGCACACTGCGTATTGTGAACAGGGGAGTGGATGACAGGATAGAGGGATGGATGGAGGGAGGGATGAGAAGATGCACGTGTGGATGGATGGTCTTTGGATGAACAGGAGGATGAGTGGGTGGACTGATGATGAAATGGTTGGAAAGAGGGACATGTAGGAGATTTAGATAAACTGATGTGTGGGCGAATGCAGGTTAGCTGGTTTGGAAGCACAAAACACTGGACAAGGAGAATCGAAACCCAGACTCCCAGAACTGGGTGAGCCCTAAGCAGCGTGGGCACATTTACATTATTGTCTCCCTGTTCTCAGGAAGAAACTTCATTGCTTGGCCATCTTCACATAAAGTCCCACAAACACCTTGAGGGTGTGATCCTTACATCTTTCCAAAGAGCTAAGGAAGATAAGGGTCACCATTGCAGACTAGGATAAACACAACTGCGGCCGGATGAACTGCCCTGGACACTCCTGAGACAGAGGGAGTCTCCCCTGAGCTCTGACCCCTAGACCCAGCCCATCACCATTGTCCCTTGCAGGTTTTCCAGCAATACCATTGGAGATGGAGGTGCCATGGCCCTGGCTGAGGCCCTGAAGGTGAACCAGGGCCTGGAGAACCTGGAGTGAGTCTGCCTGAGAATCCCCCATGGATGATACTCTTGCCAGAACCCATTTCCATGAGAGCCAACCCACCCTAGCAACCCCAGCCCCGGCACTGTGCTGTTCCTGCCCCTCCACCCACCTTCTGTCCTGTTCCATCTGCCAGCTCCACTTCTCAGCACTTTTCAGAATGACAAGGTCCACGTGCCTTGTCATAAGCAAGCCCCCGGGGCTGCAGGAAAGTCTTGGTAGGTTGGGCAGGGGTGGGCTGGATGCCGCCGCCACTTTAGGATCGTTTTGCTGCATGGCTTTCTCAGGGTAACATTCACGGCCTTGAGCACACATGCGGCTCCCATGTCAGCTTAAGCTTCAGGGCCTAAACCACACTGGCTTTACCCAGCAGGAGCTAGAAAGTGGAATGACTGGCGAGGAAAGAGGGATGAGAAGAGCAATCCCCAGGTCCCCAACTCCCTGTTGAGCCCATCGGGTATGGCTCCAGGTCCTGGGACAGCCACATCAACACTGTCTTGTCTTTTATTGCAGTCTGCAGAGCAATGCCATCAGTAACACCGGAGTGGCCGTGCTGATGCGAGCCCTCCATGTTAACCAGACACTCTCTAGTCTCAAGTAAGTCCTGCCCCCAACCCCGAACCCGGATGTTGCCCCTTTGACCAGTGGGGATGCAGGGCCTCTGGGACTTGGAAAGAAAGACTGGGACAGAGAAAACTGCTGTAGAAAATACTGTGGTTGGTATGGGCTTGGTTCTAGAACATAGCACCCTGCCCTTTTTCCTGCCTTGTGAGTGTGGCCCCCAGTGGATATGCCCCCCTATGATGTACAGCCCTTCAGGTGCCACTTGCCCATCATAACCCAGATCTTGTCCCTTTCCTCCTGTGCATTCCTGCACTGCTGTGGTTCCGAGTGGGCACGGATTAGAGCCCTAGCTGGCAGCAACAGGTTCCTTCATATTTCAGCCCAGATGGCTCAGTAGGCACAGGGCCTGTCTGTGGTTTCCTGGGGTTTGGAAAGCCTAGACATCTGAGCTTACTCGGGCAGAAGCCTCACTTGCCTGACTGGATGTTGAGAGTCTCATCTCTCCTCAGCCTACGAGAAAACTCCATCAGTCCAGAAGGAGCCAGGGCCCTCGCTCAAGCCCTCCGTAAGAACAGCACTCTGAGGCACTTGGAGTACGTAATAATTGGGTCTGGGAGGGTGGAAGTCAAAGGGAGACTGTGCTTCCTCACCTACTCAGACACCGGGGTTGGTGGCACCACTGTAATGGGTTAGACCTTTGGCATCCTCACAGTTCACGAGGCTGGACTAGGACTTCATTTGGGAAGGGGCAGCCTGGAGACCTGGTATCACTGGTAACGCTGACACAGGAACTCTGTAGCCTTACACCTAGAGATGGGTAAGCACATGGCAGAGGACCTGAAAGCGTTGGCATGGGGCCATGCCAATAGGTAGCAATCCTGTTCATAGTGCTGCATGTCCTGGCTGCATGTCCTGGCTGCATGTCCTGGCTGCACGTCCTGGCTGCACGTCCTGGCTGCATGTCCTGGCTGCACGACCTGTAGCCACTCACTGAGTTTAACATGGGTGTTCTCTAGTATGCCTGGCACACCAGAGTTCTCCATAAGCACAAGCCACACAAGCCTAACGCCAGTGCTGGCAGTGTGCCTCTTGGGAGGGTGGGGAATGACTGGGATCCCCTTAGTGACCAGGATGGTGGGACGGTTCACAGTGGCTTCTACTTGCTCCTGTTCCCTTTTTCCCAGTCTGACAGCCAACCTCCTCCATGACCAAGGTGCCCAGGCCATTGCAGTAGCAGTAGGAGAAAACCACTCCCTCACTCACCTGCAGTAAGTCTACTGTCCCCACCTTCCCCAACCCCCACTCCCCCAGCTGCAGGGCTACCAAACCCTGTGGCAGATGGAACCTGGCTTTGGGCCATGCCCGAGGCCTTCCTAGGCTACCTGCCTCCAGCAGGCATGCCCCAGCCTCGGTTTGGATTCCTGAGGTTATCCTCAGATAGATAGGCTGTGACTTGGGGTGACCTATGCTTTACGGAGAATATTTGAGCTTGTTCCCATGGCTACCACTGGTAAAACACTGGCCCTCTGGGGACTTTAGGAATCCCCATGACATATCCTGCACAGACTCACCCAGTCACCTTAAGGCCTCCACCTCCATTCTTGGGCCATATGGTCACATGTCTGTGTACTTTCCAGCCTGCAGTGGAACTTCATCCAGGCTGGTGCAGCCAGGGCCCTGTAGTCACCTTAAGGCCTCCACCTCCATTCTTGGGCCATATGGTCACATGTCTGTGTACTTTCCAGCCTGCAGTGGAACTTCATCCAGGCTGGTGCAGCCAGGGCCCTGGGACAAGCCCTGCAGCTGAACAGGACCCTGACAACCTTAGAGTAAGTGTGGCCTATGGGAATGAGGGAGAGTCTCCAGGCACAGGGCTGGTCTGATGACTTGCAACAAGTCTCCTCTACCATGAGACCACAGACTTACTTCAGCCCTCATTCACCCGCAGTGTGTGTGTGTGTGTGTGTGTGTAATAGCTTTACTAATATAATCCACACACCATAAAAACCAGCTGTCAACCATCACAACCACCAATTTTAGACCCCACCCCCACCCCAGAGATGCTGTGTACTGTACTTTCCAGCCTCACTTCCATCCTTGCAAAACACAACCAGTCCGGACATTTGACATAAGCAAACTTATGTGGTCTTTTGTGATGTATATCATGTATGTGTACATACATGCCAAGGGCTGATACAAGGGCCCCGACAATCTTAAGCACCTGCTCTACCGCAGAGCTACACTCCCAGCAGAACAATATCTTTCAGGCTGACCTATTTTGTAGCATGTTGGTACAGGTTTTTTTTGTTTTGTTTTGTTTTTGAGGTGTGTGTGTGTGTGCGTGCGTGTTTGTACGCACTTGCCATGACATATGTGTGGAGGTCAGAGGAAAACTTTCAAAAGCTGGTTCTCTCCTTCCACTCTGAGTTCCAAGGGTCAGACTCGGGTCATTGGGGTTGATGACAAGCACTTTAACCCGCTGAGCTCTTAACTAGCCCCCACCATTATTTTAATCTTTGTATGTGTGTACATATGTAAGCGCATGGACTAATGTGTGTGGGTGTGGGGGAAGTGGACAGCCCCAGCTGCTGGTCCTCGGGCTCCTCCCCCACCTTGCTGCATCTGCCAGGCAATCGGCTGTGAGCTTCCAGGGTTGCGTCCAGTCTCCCCGTAGGAGCTGTGGTTACAGATGTGCTATTGCAGCCAGCATTAGGGGGACTGACTCAGCTCCTTCTGTTTATGAGAGAAGCACTTAGGCCATGGAGCCCCCTCCCCAGCCTGGAGCTCAGACTTTTGAGCCCCCTTTGCATCACACTCCGGTTTCCTCTCTGTCCGTCTGTTACCCTGTCCCTCAGTCCGTCAGTCCATCACCTCACTAGCGGCACTTCTCCTCTATCCTGTTCTACCCCTAGACACTGCTGCTCCTCAGGGCCTCTTCCCCTGAATGAACTTTTTCTGGGAGCTCTCCTCCTTTCCCAGGACTCTAATTACCCAGCTCTCGCATCACTACCCAGCGTGGTTTGAATGAGAACAGCCCCTGTAGGCTCATAAATTTGAATACGTGGTGGCCAGTTGGTGAATTCCATGTGAAGGGTTAGGAGGTGTGGCTATGTTGGAGGTGTGTCACTGGGGGTGGGGTTTAAGGCTTCCAGTGTGTTCTCTCTGCCTCATGCCTGTGGATCCAGATGTGAGCTCTCAGCTACTGTACCAGTACCACATCTGTCTGCTGCCTGCTCCCCACTGTGATGGTCATGGACTCTGACCCTCTGAAACTGTAAGCCCCAAATAAACTCTTCTCTAAGTTGCCTTGGTCAAGGCATCTTATGATAGCAACAGAAAAGCAGCGAGGACGCTAACTCAGGTGTCCCTTAACTCCAGTCTGTGAATCCACACGGGTTACCTTACACCTGCGGTGCCTCACAGGAAGTACAAGTTGCTGCATTTTCTCACCCACAAGACTGCTTCTTAGTTGTCCATCTGACCCTTGGACCAGGCAGTTGTGCAGACTGGAGGCACCACCTCCCCTCCCCTTCCAGATCATCTCCATGGCCTGCTGACCCTCTTTCCCACTGTCCATCTCACACTGTTTCTGTCAGCTGCCACTATCCAGGCCACAGCACCACTCACCTCCACCCACGTGGAGGCCATGTCCCCACACTGCGGGCTAGAGATCTTCCATACATCCATCAGTCTTCATTATGGGTGAGCTCCTTAGACGACTGTGTGTTGAAATAGGAGCGGCGGGGCTGCGTCCCCAACACCCCGGCCGCTTGGCTAGCTCATGCCCGAAATAACAACACACAAACTGTATTCATTTAAAGAACTGCTTGGCCCATGAACTCTAGCCCTTACAGGCTAATTCTCGCACCTGGTCTAGCCCATTTCTAATGATGTGTGTAAGCACCCCAAGGTGCGCTTACCGGAAAGATTCTAGCCTAAGTCCATCGTGGGTTGCAGCTGCCTGGGAGAGCTGAGCATGGCGTCTCTGCTCCAGCAGAGCTGTCCGGTCTCTCCGGAAGCAGAGCAGAGTCTGACCTCACTTCCTCTTCCGCCCAGAATTCTATTCTGTTTACTCCTCCCATCTATGTTCCAAGCTGAGGCCAAGCAGTTGGTTTATTATAACTTAACCAATGAAATCAACAGATTGATATATGACACTCCCACATCAACTGTGCTTGCAGAGTCAAGTGGAACTCCTGGTTCCAAGGTCCTGTGGGTCTGCTCCCTCACACTTCCAAGCCCCAGCGCTCTCTCTCCATGACCTCAGCAGTCACCCAGGTCTCTTTGGATGTACCAGCCTTCTTTGTCTCCCATTCCCTGATCCTGGCCTCGTTTATTTCTTCTGGGCACCACACTGGAGTGGAGGCTCTGTTGGTCTTCCCTGCACCTTAGACATGGTCCTAGCTGAGTCTAAGAGGGCTTAAGAAGTTACACGTCTACTGTCGTGATAAAACACTAGGCCCAAAAGCAGACTTGAGGAGGAAGGGTTTATTTCACCTGCAGCTTCTAAGTCTGTCACTGAGGAAGCCAGGGCAGGAACTGGGGCAGGGACCAAGGAGGGCTTGCTCTTCCTGGCTTACTCAGCTTCTTTTCTTACACACCTCAGGACTACCTATCCAGGCTTAGCACCACCTCCTACTTCAATCATTCAATCATCAAAACATAAAATGGCTTGCCTACAACCTATCCTTATTTACTTATAGTTTCATTTTTTGAGATGAGACAGGGTTTCTCCGTGTAGCCCTAGCTGTCCTGAAACTCGCTTTGTAGACCAGGCTGGCCTCAACCTTACAGAGATGCCTATAGGCTATTCTTATGGAGGCGTTTTCTCAATTGATGCTAACTGGTCTCAGAGGACTCTGGCTTGTGTCTGCTTGACAAAAACTAGCCCACACTGCAGAACTGTGTCTGCTCCTTGGCGTCTTTAACACACGGGACACACTTAGATGCTCACTAGAGTAATGTACGCGAATGCTTCCTTTCGCACGGTGATGTCCATTTGTCCTAAACTCATTGTCCCAGAACTTGCTCTTCTCCTCCAAATGGAAGTAGGAGAAAACACCCAGAAATCCTAGCCAGCACGAATGGTGCAGAAGTGAGGACTTGAGGCCAATCTTCCCACTGGTTTTCGAAACATACATTTTGGTCTCAAGCCTTGTTGACAGTAATTCCCATGTCCCCTTTCTTGTCTGCCTTTGACACTTTGTTCAGATTCACACAGACTCCCAGATTCCTCTGTGCATTAATATGAGGCCAAGGGCACAATGGTTTCCCAGAAGGTGACTGAGCGTGATCGTAAGGGGCCTAAACCCACAGGCCTTGGCCAGAGTGTTGGCCCGAGCCCCTTGGGTACCAACAGGTTCCACTGTGTTCAGCCTACAGGAGAATGCCATAGGGGATGACGGAGCTTCTGCACTGGCCGGGGCCCTGAAGGTGAACACAACCCTCACTGCTCTCTAGTAAGTCCCCTGGGTGTGGGAGCCCAGCAGATCACCCCCCTCCAGCACCCCATGTCACACAGCCACCTCGTTTTACCCGTCTGGGAAGGTTGTTTGGGTTTTCATATTAGAAAGTGATTGGGCACTCAAGCACCCAGGAAGGACCGAAGGCACAGACAGCATTCGGCCCAGGCCTCCTGGAAGACCACCTCTACCCCATCCCGTGTCTAGGTCTTGTTCCTAGGTGTTAGACTATATGGGGGAGATGCAGTGCACGTGGAAGAATCATAGGAAAACCGTCCTTAGTGCTATTTCTCAACGTTTAGCCCTAGCTAAGGGGTATGGAGTATGGAGGGAAGCCTGGCCCAGGGCAGAGGGCCGGAGCACAGGGGGCTGATTACCCACACTGACCGCACTCCCTCTTATAGCCTGCAGGTGGCCTCCATTGGCACCCAAGGGGCCCAGGCACTTGGGGAAGCCCTGGCTGTGAACAGAACCTTGGAGATTCTCGAGTGAGTATTCCGGTTTCTGTTGACAGACTTTCGCTGAAAGAAATCAAACTACAGATTCAAAAGGGATAAGCATGAAGACAAACCTCTATTCACATAATTGTCACGACCGTTTCCGGTCATATGCTCCATCTTCCCCGTTCCCACTTCGTCTTTCCCTGAAGTCACCATGGCACTATGCTCTAGGTTGGGCCTGCCCCAGATAAACACGACCAAAGGCTCTATTTAATAGGACCCCCCATACACACACCATAGAAACCAGCAGCCACCTCCTGGGTGGCTGGGGCTCAAGCTCTGAGGCTCTCAGCCTACCCATGTCTTCCCTACTCCCCAGGATCCCTGTAACCACAGTGCACCGTAGACCTCTGGATGGAGGTTACCTCTCCCATCTCAGCCCAGGTTTCCCTTCTCCGGGGTAGAAAGAAAGAACAGGCTTCCTTCCATAAGTGCTTAGGAAGAAGCCGCTCCCAACTCCTGTGACTGGAGTGTCCAGACGAGCCCACACCCATCTGAAGGGACAGCAGTGTCACCACTCAGCCTATCCCTGCACCTTAGGCTTCTTGCTTGCCCTGACAGCTTACGAGGAAATGACATCGGGGTAGCTGGTGCCAAGGCGTTGGCAAATGCTTTGAAGTTAAACTCCAGCCTCCGGAGACTCAAGTAAGTGATCGTGTGGCCCTTGCGCAACCCAGAGTAGCCAACTTCTGCCAGCACTTCTGGGAGGAAACACACTTTCCTCTGGTTGCTTCCTCCTGGATGTTAAACGACCATACTGTCCTGACCATCACTGTCCACGTCCACTGAAGTCAGCTTTGTTCATTCTCCTTTACTGAAAATCCGCATTCATGGCCTTGGGCAGAATACCTGGCTGCAGCTGCTGTGGCGCCTGTGGACAATCAGCCTAGAATTACTTATTCCATCCATCTCAAGGCAGTGTTGCCTCCTTACGTGTCTTCTGTCCTGATGGCTCACTATGGTGTCTCCATCTCTTCTCTGCCTAGTCTCCAGGAGAACTCACTGGGGATGGATGGGGCCATATACATTGCTGCTGCGTTGTCTGAGAACCGTGGTCTGCGTCATATTAAGTGAGTACACTCAGTGGCACCCACCTTCCCAGCTACTTCTGCTGAGCCTCGGAACTGCTCCCAGAGCAGGTTCTGCCTTTAGCCCACTTCTGGAAACCAGATGATATGAAGGCACTCTAGCAACTCCACAGGGAAAGTAGGTCTACTAGGGAACATGCCGGAGCTGCCTGTGTAAGAGGGACCCTACACACACCAGAAGGCCAGGGGCTCAATGGGGTCCTGAATTTATTAGAGCAATGATCGCTGTACTAAAGACAGCCTGCAGGTGCTCAATTCTGCCCTAACTCTTCTGCTCTAGTCTCCAGGGAAATCCCATTGGGGAATCTGGTGCCAGGATGATCTCAGAGGCTACCAAGACATGCATGGTGGAAATGTAAGGAAAGCAGGTTCCTGGGGGACCACGCAGAGACTCAGCTGGAAGCTTCAGATCAGAGTGACCTCGATTTCTGCACAGTTTCCTGGAATCTGAATGCCGCCGCTGAGCCAGTTCTAAAGCTGGTCTCCTGGACAGGGGAAGGAAGGGCGCTTCAGCAGAGGCCACGCGTATCTTTCCTTCCCAGGGTCAGGCAGAGGGAAGATGGACACTGACAGCAGAGGGAAGGGAAGGAGCTGCTGCTAAGGGGCGCTCAGGGATAAAATCTCAAAGCTCCACAAAGCAGGACGCTGGTGCAGACGTATTCATATCCTGGGTCTTCAGAGCCCCAGCTTAACCAACAACAAGAAACGTGTTTCTGCCCTCGTGTGCTCCCGTGGCTGACATCCCTGTCTTGAAGGTTGCAGCCTTCCAGCCCATTAAGCACATTAGCTTGGTGAAGGTGAGAATATGTCCGTTATTTTTCTTAAGAAAAGAAAAAAGTTTTGGGGTATGACCCTTATATACATATGGAGAAAATATGAGAAATTTGTGGAGATAAATCAAAGGTTAATTCTAAGGTTCTGGAGTCAGAGATGAGTCTCCAAAGGCTCTGAATTCTCCTCTAAGATCTCTCAGACATCTAGAATGGTCTGCCATATTTGGAGTCCAGCACACTGGTATTCCATTGCAAATTCGGTGTTGATACCTTGATGTCATTATCCTGTATTTAGGCATCCAAAACCTATACAGTGGCTATTGCTTCCCCGTGGAGACAAATAAGTGTGCATGTGGCAAATTTCCTCCATTGTCTGAGTGAAACAGACAATGAACTTCACAGGTCTCAACCAAGCCACTAAGGTAAATGCTTATAAAGACCATAAGGTGAGTCCAGGCAGTGGTGGCGCACACCTAGACTCCCAGCACCGGGAGGCAGAGGCAGGTGGAGCTCTGTGAGTTCAAGACCAGTCTGGTCTACAGAGCAGGTTCCAGGACAGCCAGAGCTACATAATAAGACCCTGTCTTGGAAAAAGACAAAAAAACAAAAAACAAAAACAAGTATCCAAAAGATAGACATGGAGGCACACACGTGTAATTCTAGTACTTGAGAGGCTGAGAAAGGATCATGAATTTGAGGACACCTTAAATTACATAGTGAGATTCTCAAAACCAACCCAAATATGTAAAAATGAGTATTCGGGTGAGTTACCATGGAGGCTGACAGAAGAGGGGTTCCCTGGTTTTACAAGAACAGAGGCACTTGAGCAAGTGGCACAGCAAACGCCACTGTGACAAGGATGACGAGACTCAAGACAGGATGGTGTGTGCTCCTGTGATCCCAGCACCTGGCGGAGGCAGGAGGATCAGGAGCTCAAGTCTGTCTTTGGTACACGGTGAGTTCAAGATCAGTTTCTGCTGCATGAGATCCTGTCTCGAAAAAAAAAAACAGAAGAAAATAAAGTGACTGTGACTGTCTATAACCTCACAGTCATGGGACAAATGAGCATCATGCCGGTTGAAGACGCAGCAGCAACAGAACGTTTCTGCCAAAACTGTAGAGGTGTAACCACACAAACTCCAAATGGAAGGACTTTCTACCAAGCTGGCCTGACTTCCAAAGATGTTACAGTGGTCTGGAGATGGTTTTAAATTAAACAAATGAAAGGGGCTTAGCAGTGAAGTACAAGGTCCTGAATTGGTTCTAGGCTGGAGCAAACACATAATCTTAAAAGAATTCTACTTGGAAACTGAAGGTGCATTATTTTGGTTTTGCAGCGTATTGTTTCTGGGTATAGAATGCTATTTTCTTTCTTTTCCACTTTTACGATGTGAGAGGCTGTCCCAACTCTCAGACTGGGGCTATATCCCCCGCCTCAGTGGAGTAGGTCCTGAGACCCATCCCCCACACTGCCAACAACAACAACGTTGCTTTAGGCCTGTGGCTTACATTGGAGCTCAACAGCCAGGAAGGCTTCAGTCGGTCAGTAGACAAATGCTGGGAAAGGGGTAGCCTGTCGAAGCCTAGTATGGAAGTCTGAAGGTCAAACACTGTGAGGACAGAGGGTGTCTTCCAATGATAATGAGAGCAAGACTCACCAGAACTAGAAGGTCCCCTTCCAAAAGTTCTGTCCAGACCCACTATGGAGACTTCACAGCTCTCTGGCTAGCAAGGTCTAGCTGCATCACCACAAAGCAAGCCAAAATGTGAGTCCGGAACCAAGACAGAGCACTAAGCAGAACAGCAGTTTGAGTTTCCTATTGTTTTAATTGGACAATCTCAGCTGCTGTCTTCTGCAGCTCCTGGAACACGCCCTCTGCTGCTGAGGCACGCCCTCCGCTGTTAGGGCACGCCCTCCGCTGTTGGGGCACGCCCTCCGTTGTTGGGGCACGCCCTCCGCTGTTGAGGCACACCCTCTGCTGTTGAGCACACTTTTTTTTACTTTTATTCTTTTTTTAACCGATTTTTATTAGCTTTTTTTTTTTTTAAAAATACCAATCCAAGTTCCCACTCCCTCCTCTCCTCCCATTCCCTCCACACACCCTCATACCCCATCCCCTCCAATCCTAAGAGAGGGCAAAGCACCTTGCCCTGTGGAAGGTCCAAGGCCCTCCCCACTGTATCTAGGCTGAGCAAGATATACATCCAAAGAGAATGGGATCCCCAAAGCCAGTGCAAGCAGCAGAGACAAATCACAGTGCCCCTCAGTCTGCCCCAGCCATGCAACTGTCAACCACATTCAGAGGGACTAGCTTGGTCCCATGCTGGTTTCTTCCCAGTCCAGCTGGAGTAGGTGAGCTCCCATTAGCTCAGGTCGACTGTTTCAGTGGATAAACCCCTCATGGTCTTGGGAGCTTAGTCCAGTGCTCTGATGTGGGTCTCTGCCTCTGATTCCATCAGTTGCTGGACAAAGGTTCTATGGTGATATTTAAGATAATCATCAATCTGAATACAGGGCAATGTCAGTTCAGGCACCCTCTCCACTATTGCTTAGGGTCTTAGCTGGGGCCATCCTTGTGGATTCCTGGGAATTTCTCTAGAATCAGGCTTCTTGCCAACCCCATAATGCCCCCCCCCCCCCGCCAATCAAGGTATCTCTCTCCTTGCTCTCATATCTGGCCCCCCTCCATCTCAACCATCCCATTCCCTCAAGTTCTCCTCAACCCTCCCCTTCTCCCCACCTCTTCCCCCTCTCCTCCCTCATCTACCCCCCTCCCTGCTCCCATGCTTACAATCGTGTAAGGCGACCCTGTATGTCTCCAACCCCCAGGGAGGTCCATATATGTTTTTCTTTAGGTTCACCTTGTTACTTAGCTTCTCTAGGATCATGAACTATAGGCTCAATATTCCTTGTTTATAGCTAGTATCCACTTATGAGTGAGTACATACCATATTAATCTTTTTGGGTCTGGGTCACCTCACTCAGAATAGTGTTTTCTAATTCCATCCATTTGCATGCGAAATTCAAGATGTCATTGTTTTTTTTTTCCCCCGCTGAGTAGTACTCTAATGTGTAAATGTGCCACACTTTCTTTATCCATTCTTCAGTTGAGGGGCATCTAGGTTGTTTCCAGGTCTGGCTATTACAAATAATGCTGCTATGGACATAGTTGAACAAACGCTTTTGTAGTATGATTGAGCATCTTTGGGGTATATTCCCAAGAGTGGTATTGCTGGATCCTGAGGTAGGTTGACTCCCAATTTTCTGAGAAGTCACCATACTGATTTCCAAAGTGGTTGTACAAGTTTGCATTCCCACCAGCAATGGATGAGTGTTCCCCTTACTCCACATCCTCTCCAGCACAAGCTATCATTAGTGTTTTTGATCTTAGCCATTCTGATAGGTGTAAGATGGTATCTCAGAGTTGTTTTAATTTGCATTTCCCTGATAGCTAAGGAAGTTGAACATTTCCTTAAGTATCTTTTGGCCATTTGAAATTCTTCTGTTGAGAATTTCTGTTTAGTTCAGAACCCCATTTTTTAAATTGGGTTATTTAGAATTTTACTGTGCAATTTCTTGAGTTCTTTATATATTTTGGAGATCAGTCCTTTGTCTGATGTGGGGTTGGTGAAGATCTTTGCCCATTCAGTAGGCTGCCTTTTTGTCTTATTTTCTGTGTCCTTTGCTTTACAGAAGCTTCTCAGTTTCAGGAGGTTCCATTTATTCATTGTTGCTCTCAGTGTCTGAGCTACTGGGGTTATACTTAGGAAGTGGTCTCCTGTGCCCATGCATTGAGGACTACTTACCACTTTCTCTTCTACCAGGTTCAGTGCGGTTGGATTTATATTGAGGTCTTTAATCCATTTGGACTTGAGTTTCATGCATGGTGATAGATATGGATCTATTTTCATTCTTCTACATGTTGACATCCAGTTATGCTAGCACCATTTGTTGAAGATGCTTTCTTTTTTCCATTGTATAATTTTAGCTTCTTTGTAAAAAATTAGGTGTTCATAGGCGTGTGGATTAATATCCGGGTCTTCAATTCGATTCCATTGGTCAACATCTTTGTTTTTATTTCAATACCAAGCAGTTTTCATTACTGTAGCTCTGTAATAGAACTTGATGTCAGGGATGGTAATGCCTCTGGCAGTTCCTTTATTGTACAGGATTGTTTTGGCTATCCTGGGTTTTGTTTTTTTTTCATATGAAGTTGATTGTTGTTCTTTCGAGGTCTGTGAAGAATTGTGTTGGGATTTTCATGGGGATTGCATTGACTCTATAGATTGCCTTTAGTGGTAGGATTGCCATTTTTACTATGTTGATCCTTCCTATCCAAGATCATGGGAGATCTTTCCATTTTCTGGTATCTTCTTCAATTTCTTTCTTCAAAGACTTAAAGTTCATGTCAAATAGGTCTTTCACTTCCTTGGTTAGTGTTACTCCAAGGTATTTTGTTGTTTATTGCTATTGTGAAAGGTGATGTTTCTCTGATTTCCCTCTCAGCTTCCTTATCATTTGTGTATAGGAGGACTATTAATTTTTTGAGTTGATCTTGTATCCTGCCACATCACTGAAGGTATTTATCAGCTGTGGGAGATCTCTGATAGAGTTTTTTGGGTCACTTATGTATACTATCATATCATCTGCAAATAACAAAAGTTTGATTTCTTCCTTTCCAATATGAATCCCCTTGATCTTCCTTTGTTGTCTTATTGCTACTGCTAAAACTTCAAGAACTATGTTGAAGAAATATGGAGAGAGTGGACAGCCTTGTCTTGTTCCTGATTTTAGTGGAATCGCTTTGTGTTTCTCTCCATTTAATTTGATGTTAGCTGTTGGCTTGCTGTATATTGCTTTTATTATATTTAGATATGATCCTTGTATCCTTGATCTCTCCAAGACCTTTATTATGAAGGGGTGTTGAATTTTGTCAAATGCTTTTTCAGCATCTAATGAAATGATCATATGGTTTTTTTCTTTCAGTTTATTTATATGATGGATTACATTCATAGATTTTCATATATTGAACAAGCCCTGCATCTCTGAGATGAAGACTACTTGATCATGATGAATTTTTTTATGTGTTCTTGGATTCAGTTTGCCAGTATTTTATTAAGAATTTTTGCATCCATGTTCATGAGTGAAACTGGTCTGTAATTCTCTTTCTTGGTTGAATCTTTGTGCAGTTTTGGTATCTGGGTAACTGTAGCCTCATAAAAAGAGTTTGGCAGTGACCCTTTTTATTTCTATTATGTGGAACACTTTGAGGAGTATACATAGGTATTAGCTCTTCTTGGAAGTTCTGGTAGTGTTGGGTCCAGGGGTAGGTTGATCCCGACCTCCACACTGCTTTCCAGAGTGGTTGCACGAGTTTGCATTCCCACCAGCAATGGATGAGTGTACCCCTTTCTCCACAACCTCTCCAGCACAGGCTATCATTGGTGTTTTTGATTTTAGCCATTCTGACAGGTGTAAGATGGTATCTTAAAGTTGTCTTGATTTGCATTTCCCTGATCGCTAAGGAAGTTGAGCATGACCTTAGGTGTCTTTTGGCCATTTGAAATTCTTCTGTTGAGAATTTCTGTTCAGCTCAGTGCCCCATTTTATAATTGGGCT